GCACCCGGGGGCGGGACCGGCCATGCGCCCAGGGCTGGCACCTGCCGCACGCCCAGGGGCAGGGCCAGCCCAGATTGCTCTGCGGGCGCATGTAAAGAGCCCGGTGGGCACCGGGTTGGGGACCACGGACCTACAGTATCGTGTAGTGCCCACGTCTCTGACTGCTTCTCTCTGCTACCTTGGATTTAAAAGATGTAAACTTCAGATGACTGTTGTGAAAAATTGAAAACATTATTCATTATGAATCAAACTGGTTTCTCAGAAAAAGGATAGTGACATATGTAGACAGTGTGGCCTCTTTGAATTTCCCTCTTTTAAATTATAGAGCACCATGTCTCATTTATAACAGAAGACTAACTAGGGGATTATAGCCTGGCGCAAGATATAGTCTAGCCAGGAATTCCTCTCCTCTGACTAGATGACTCCTTACACAACAAAACAAAAACATTGTTTTAGAGAGAGTTCACTTGTTACAACAGCATAAAATTGAGGTATTGTGGAACTTGTCAGTTATTGAAATAAACAGCTATTAAAACGAAGACTTGCATGAATGAGCTGTCAGTCCTTCTTCACACAATTCAATAGTGGGACCGGGAAGAAATTTTTTTTTCTGGTACAGCAGTGCACAATTCAGTGCACTATGGAGGGTGTGGAGGCTTGATTACATTTAGCATCCAAAATGGCTTGATATCGAAATTCACTGGTCTGGGACTCCTGATTATGATGATGGAGACATGAACTGATATAATGTGAGGTATGAGATTGCTTATTTGTTTTTGAGGTATTAGGCTAATATGTGACACCACAAGCACCTGGTAAAGACACAATTGTTATACAGCTTTAGCTGTTTTGAACCAAATAATACCTACAGGAACATTTTCTGTTCATTTACAGAGGGCACTCTTGTAAAGAGAATCTCGTTATAAAAAACTCTGCTGAAAGGCTTTCACAGCTTGATGATGCAGTTGTCACCATGGAGATTTCATTCCAACAAAAAAGAATGAATTCTATGTGGATCTGCTTTTGAAATGTGTAAACTGCAGATACCTTCTAATGACTTTTGTCTAAATCTCTGCCTTGTAAGATAACTTGAACCGGAACATAAAGAAGGAAGTCCATATATGTTCATGGCAATTTTTAATTTTTTATAAACAGCCTGATCTCCGGGGATGAGTTGTGCATAATGGCAGATTAATAAAGTGGGCATGAATAAAAGACTTTGAGACAAAGACAATAGGGAGAGAAGTATACCATCCTCAGATTTGAGAGAATTATTCAAACACACTGCTCTGTGAATTTCAGTTGAAATCTGGTTCCTTTACTTAAGGAGGAGCTGCCTTTCTGTATTCTCCTGTGGTCCACATTGAGGGCAGCAGACAGAGACTGCTTTAAAATTTGCATTTTAGCATTTGACATAACACTTCTTAGAAGCATTGTGAGTCTGTCTGGGCATCTCGTTTCACACTAATGACCTGTAAAAGGAGCCAGGTGCAGGCTGATTACTCTCCCATTCAAACAAAGCCAAGAAACGGCTCTGGATGTATACCAGCTGATCACTCTGTTTGCCTATCTGGCATAGTCTCTCAAGGGAAGTCCTATCTTTTGACTCATTTATAACTAAACTGCTGAAAAATATACTTTAGGGAGCAATCTTGTACTGAACCAGGGGAGGGGGAGCGAACAAGATGACATTAAGAGGTCTCTTCTATCTCTGAGTGTCTTATGATTAGTCAAGAGTAGACAATGGATATCAGTTACAATTTTACCACCCTAATGCATTATATGATACTGACAATCATTCAACAAAGAGAATGTCACCAGACTACTTAAGATTTGTCTATACAGTGTTTTGGAGCATGCCTTCCATTTCAGGGGGATGGTCTTAGAGGAGCTCACACTAGTCATCTTAAAAAAAAGCTGTGTAGGCAGCACTTTACAGCTATAGCTTGGGCTGGATCTTGGGCTATGAACACTAGCCAATGCATTACTTAAATTGAATGGCTATTTTGTCCTCTTCCAATCTCATCCTCTTGAATTTACCTGCCCTCCTAAATTATTGTGGAACTCATATAGAGCGAGTCTGCTCCCTCTAATGCATGTGCAGCAATATTGAATAAACGAACACCATTCATAGAACTCTTCTGTCCAAATGTTGATACAAAAATCTTCAGTTATAAGGTATTATTTTTATATATATATATAATATAAAAAAAACCTTTAAAAATGTGGTCCCTAATTTTTTGCCAGATGTGGGGCAGCCAGAAAGAATATCATTGTTTACCACATCAAAAAGAATAAAATTACCAGGGGGTAACTAAGTTGGAGTTCATAAAAGGATATTACAAGTAATGGAACTTTAAAAGCTCTTCTCTGATCTAATCTATATAATTCACACTCTGGACTTTATCTTTTAAAAGGTAATTAGATTTCTAATTTGTTTTTGGAGGTTGCTAAAATAAGATCGAAAAGGCCAAAAGACAGAATTTGGGAATATTGCCAATCTTTTGCTGGATGGCTAGTGAAATAATTGTAGAGAATGGAAACATTAAACCTTTTATTTTAAGCAAAGTTAAGAATGAATCTAATGCAATACCATTTCTGGTAAGGCAGTTTCAACTATGAACACTAATCTACCCTATCCCAGGTCTGACTTTCTATATCAGTTCTTTTGTTTTTGGTTTTTTAAATCTTTTGGTCAACTTGAAGTCAAATTCCTGGCTATTACTGACTGGATTTCTCAAAGATATATATGCCTGACAGACGGTGTTTGTTTTCTGTGGGTTGTTGTTTGGAGGAAGTAAAAAAGATAGCGTCAGAGAATATTACTGATCAAAATGGGTTTTTCCCCCATGTCAGCTAGTCTTGGGAAACTGGCAGGGCATATTTTTGTTGTAACACAGATTTTGTTGAAAGAGCCACAGTAAATTTTGCCTGCAAAACTGTTGCTGATATAAATGCTGTCAAAGAATATGAATGTGAACTGTAAATGCAAATAATTATCCGGTAGCTACTGAACACAATCTCATATATAAACAGAAGTTCTAACCTCAGACCATAGCAATGCATCTTATTTTAAATGTGACATTTACATCATTCTATCTTCTTTAGATCTCTCTTCCAGCAGTGTCCATAAAAATGTTTCTTACTCATAACAGATGGCCAAAGTACTGCTTTGAAATTTCTCTGGAGAAGAATCTCTGTTGATTTCATTATACTTAAAGTACTCGTGCAGACATAGACTTGGAGGAATTTATTGTTATAATTGCTATTATGAAAGATCCCATGTTGAATACATTCCTTTTCTTTTCAGGTGATGTGCCTTCAGGATTTCTTTGGTGATGATGACATTTTTATTGCATGTGGACCAGAAAAGTTCCGTTACCAGGATGATTTCTTGCTAGATGAAAGTGGTAAGAAGATCGAACATTTTTAAGACACAAAACTAAAGTGTGGGGCAACTTTTCAGGTTTTATATGAACTGTAAAATAATGTCAAAATGGTGTCAGCTGAGTCTACAACACTAATTTAAGACACACAGTTAGGATGTCTATTCTTTAATTGTAAGTTTTCAGTTATTTTGGTTTTCTGTATTAGAAACCATAAAGAGGTTATCAAGAGCCAGTTATCTGTTAACTCACAAGTGCCTATCTAAAACCAAGGTCATAGTAATAATTTTTATAGGAAATGAGGGTTGTTTGTACTGTTAAATTTCTATTTTATATGGTCTTATTTTAAATCAAAATTGAGTTGTTGTCATGGATCTTGCCTTATCTCTCAGTTGGACATCACAGAATTATTTAAAATTGTGTCTGTTCTTTCCAACCCTCCCTTCTAAATCCTTGAAATCTGGATTTTTGGTAATACCCCGGGAGTAGTATGAAAAAACTATATATGGAAGTCTGTTGAAAATTATAAATTAAGATGAATTCTCCTAAGAGAACTCAAGGAGAGCTGTGTTTTATTGTAAAGTCTTTCAGAGTCTGATTGTGTAACATCACTGGCGCAAATAGACCTTAGAGAAAAATGTTTCTGGTCTGAGCTTTCCTATCCTTTATTAAAGAATGTTCTAAGTGCTGGACCATGAGTAGCAACTAAGAAATGGCAAGTTGTCTTGTGCATAAGGAATACAAAAAAGGGGCTGAAAATTATTAAATTATCTAATTAATTTGTGATGTAGACTGGGACCTGACTAATGGGTTTGCTTCTTTTTCTCTTGTCCAGATTTTTTTTCCTTAGCAGCTGGATGAATCTTCAGCACTTTTTTCCCCTTTAAATAATGTATAACAACTGAGTCTTATGGGACAGTCCTTTTGATTAGAATAAGGAGAAATGTCCAGATAAATTAATTGTAGATATGTTTAAAGGTCACTTATTTTCTGTTGTGTGTGATATATATATATATATATATATAATATAAAAAAATAAATACAATTTTTTTCTATAATGTGTTGATTTTATTTGCCTGACATGGAAAGTGTGGTGATTATTTTTTTTCTTTTTGGATTATCTGGACCCAGACTTAAAGCTTTTGGAGGGTAGGGGAAATGCTTTATCTGTATTATAAGCTGAGGGACGTGTGTGTGGGAAAAATAGCTAATACATACTGATAAGCAAGGAAAGTGATATTCTGAAGCATGTGTATGCACTCACATACAGACACCTTATATCTTTATAAAACCTTTCATTATCGAGTTATATGGACATACTACACACAGATTAGTCGATCCCATGTTGACATGTACTGTAGCCACCTCTGAGTTGTAGTATGATAATTGTTGAACAGCAACAGACAAATTTTGGACAGGAGTTGAAGGTGCAAAGGAAATTTAGTAAGCAGTGATACAGTTACCGAAGCTGGAAAGTATTGAGGACTGTGCTGCTAACATTGCCCGTGCCAATTTCAGGAGTGCCAAGGGATCTTTAATTACTAGGACCTCCATTTTGTCTCTTCTGCAGTGTCACACTGTTTCTTAGCACCATTCTGGGCCTTTGTACAATGCTGACTCGGAGGAGGGGTTCCCAAACTTTTTGACACGGGGACCAGTAAATCCATTCATGAGCTTTGGAGGACTGGTAACATTCATTTGCATATGTGCATATTCATTAAGCAAATGATGTTCAAATAAGTTGTTTCTGGTCCTCCCAACGCCCCTAGTGCTAGCATTAGCAAAGCTCATCATATAGTCGCCCACAATATTCTTGCCAGCAAGTTAAGGGAATATGGATTGGATAAATGGACTGTAAGATGGATAGAAAGCTGGCTAGATCAGGGTTTCCCAAACTTTTTACTTTAGTTGGATCCCGTTTTTTTTTCAGTACTGTTTTTTGCAGCCCAAAAATATAAACGCATATTAAAAAAGAATAAATTTTCTGTGTTTCACCCGGCTCCATCCTCCGCCCGGCCAGGGCTTGGGGGACCCGGCACCGCATGGCACTCCAGGAGGCGGGAACAGGAGCAGATTGGGGGGTAGGGTATCTGGCCAGGAGGGAGGGTCCAAGGAGGGGTAGGGTTGCCAGGTGTCTGGTTTTGTACCAGACAGTCTGGTATTTGAGGGTTTTGTCTGGGAAACAAATTGAGAAATTACCAGACATATAAAATGTCTGGTATTTTTCTAATTAGGTAAGTTTTATTATAATTGGGTGTATCAGTCCTTAGCTGCAAACTGCCTGGCTGGTAGATGTGCTCATGCTGTGTGAGTGTCTACCAGCCAGGCAGTTCGCAACTACTCGAGGGAGGGTATCGGGGTGGGGGGCAAAATGGAATCCCCAGGGCCGGACTCACTTGTGTGCCCAGGTCTGCATCTGCCTGGGTCAGTCCTGCTTCCCGCCGGCCAAT